GGGGGAGGGGGACGACGACGACCCATTGGTGAACAGGCTGCGCCAGCGGAATACGCGGGAAGGAATGGAGGCGGCGGCGAAGCTGTGGGTGGATGACCTCCGCTTCTGGAACGAGAGGGAGGGATTTGCCATCGTCAAGTTGATTGCGGAGGCGCGCGGTTATCTTGTGGCTGTGGCGCGGGGAGAGCCGCCTCCACCCATTCGTCGCAGCATCGTCTTGCCTCACAACAGCATCCCGCAGCACAAGATCGCGGACGAGTCGGAGTTAAACGCTACGAAGGAGAGGGCGCTGAAGGTTCAGGGGATCGCTTTGCGGGTGATACACGGGTGGGTCTTCAAGTCTCAGAACAGGCAAAGGGGGTACCACGCGGCGTACCAGTACACACTCAACCACGCGGCCACCGACATCGCTCGCGCGATGTGGATGGGGGAGGACTGGCGTTATTGTGTGAGTCCGATGGTCGTCCACCACACGCTGGACATGGATATGAAGCTGCCTTTGTGGTTCGTGGGCGCCGATGTCGAAGACAGGCACGAGGACAATGGCTTGGCGGCTTATCAGGAGGCGAGTATCCAGCGACTGGTGGGGGCTTTCACGAGCGCCGTGATCATTGCGGAGGCGACGGACGGCGGCCGTGTATCGCACAAAAGGTTGAAGACCATGGCCGACGCGATGTGGATGATGCTCGCGACGACCATGTGGCTCATGCGGATGGCGGGTGACGATCATCGCGCGCATTGCGACGCCTGGGTCTTCGTCCAACTCTGGCGAAGCCGACGCTCATCGCATCCATGCATTGCTGCTTCGCCGCGCGTCGGCACATCGTGCAAGCTGCGACCGTAATCACCGACAAGTTGGCGAGTCCCCCCATCACTTTGATCGACCCTCCAATGTATGTTCCCAACTGGGCGTCCATCAGTGTGAAGTTCTCACACGACGCCACGCTGTCTTCCCCGATGGAGGAGAAGAAGGTGGATTGGCTGGGCACAGGCCCCCCGGAAGACGAAGACGACGGGAAAGGTGACGAACAGGGAAGCGGGGGGGGTCGATGACGCCTTTTAGTCGTCTATGTAGTTTTTCCTCGCGTGATGCTGCTTTGTCGTGGCTTATTTTTTGACGGGAGACCAACCATCATCCCCTTTCTGTACATACATCGTGGCTGGCAGTCCGATTTCGTTGCCTAGGA